ATATAGTTTATATAGGGAAATAACACTTTTCGGTATATATTTTATCCATTTTCAGCAGAAAATTGCTCAAACTTAGTCAGAATCATCTTGGGTAAATGAGAGTTTTACTTTGTAAAATTAGGATTCCTGCCCCATCCCCAGGGGCTAGGGCGGGGCCCCAAAGGGAACATTTACCAATATTTTCAAATTCTTATCCATTGATGACATGACAAGTATTGTATTTCACTTAGTTTACATGCTGATTTCCGCATCACATCTAAACAATAAAATAAAGCTACCAGTACCTATGATATAACTCAGGTGACCGCTAAGGCCCTTGGGCCTCTTGTTTTTATAGAATTCTACCTTTGTTAATTTGTTTTTTAATCCTAATGTATAGCATGATGTTGTATTCTCGCCATAATATTTTATTAATTTCTTGTTAGTACTATGCAATTAACCAATATACAGTATGAAATGCTATATTGATGCTACAAGAAACTTTTTTTTTTATATGTTTTACCAATGTGTACTAAAATATTGAATTATGTCTACATATATACAGAAAGCATAATATATTTCTTCCATTTGATATCAGTGCTGTTGTATTTTACTGATGCAAAATGTTGTTATTTACATATATGTGATCAAATATGAATTAACATTGTGTGAATTCTCAATTACTGAGAAATGGAACTAATTAAGTTTATAAAACTTGTTGTTACTGTATGTGTGTAGTGACAATCTTTTGCAAAAGATTAAATTTGCAAAGATCTCATGAATTTGAATATCTTGCAAATTTTAATTTGCAGTTTTGGAAGAAAAGAAGAACAAATTAGATAGAACATACATTGGTTTATCTTCAAAACAAAACATATACCTGTAGATTTAAATTTGTCATTTTTTTTTATTTATTTAAGAACACAAATCTTAGTATGCTACTGATTCAAAAACCTGACGGATAAGCTGTGTACTTTACAAATTGAAGGAAACTTGTTTATCAGTAATATTTACTACCTTTACAGTAAAAAAAAATTTGACCAGTATGCAGGGTAATGTACACTCTGCTAACTTCATGTCCCTTGTATAATTCCCAAAAGAATAGCCCAGTGTTAAATTATCCTTTTCACAGGAAACTTCCTGATGACAAGCTCCTTTTTTAACATGATTTCCCTGCCAAGTTTTGCCATTAAATTTGCTAAAAAAGTGGCGTAAAACGTGCAAACTTTAAAAAGAAAATGGAGACGATTTCTTCACTTTTTGGTTTTTACACAAGAGATTTGTGATAATAAAACATAGTGCTTAGCTCCAATCAACAACAGTAATATTAATATAAAAAAGCTAATTCTAAAGAAGTAAATTAAAGGTTGTTCTATCATGTGAAAGATGTATGTTTTTTTACCTGTAAGATGTTCTATGTTGTACGCAATGTCTATAAATGAAAATAAGACAACAAAGTTAGTATGATTTTTCCTGGTAAGAGATTAACGACATTTACATGAAGGAGCTTTTACAAATATCCATGCAAGACTTTTAGGAATCAAATGTTCTATATTTTTTGTAGTACATGTACATGTATATGAAATCCATTCATAAATCTGTTATTATTGTTTTTTTGAATTTAATTAATGATTTTTATAAAAAAAAATACATATCATGTGACTTATAAGTCCCATAAAACTTGTGTACTGTACAACAGTATTGCCTAGTATATTGTTTATTATTACTATCTTTTTCTAAAGTTCTAAATTATTTTTCATTGGGAAAAATTGTACATGTGTATGTCTCCTTAATTCTGTACGTATCGACCAATCCTCCTATAATAATGCCTGAATTACACTGGACTATTGGGTGATGTAATGAGGTTATACTGTAATAGATAAATAATTTACCCGATCCCCTAGAAGTTAAGG